CCACAGTCGGTGACCTCATTACGACCTCAGCATAGTAACACCAGCTTACCCGCTACGCTTCTTTGCTGAGTCTGCGCCAAAGAACCCCCCCCCCCCCCCCCATGTACATCGCTCTCTATTACATAGTCACTCGCTCCTGACTCTTTTCGCGTATTCAGGGACCACTCCTCTCAGTCTGTCACCCACATAGTCTCACTCTTGACCTCTCGAGAAGCCCTCCTAGCGGCAGAGAAGAGCATAGTCGCTGTAGGAGCCTCTCGTGGAGACCCGTGCACCCCCATCTTGAGGGGTGTTCTCCTTCCCCCTGCTGCCCTCTGTTGCCTATGCTGCTGCTGCCGACCTGCTTGGTCTTGAGTTGGTCGGCGCAGCGTCTGCCCCTAGCGGGAGACGCCGCCCTGGCAAGGGCAAGAGGGGCAAGGGCGCGGGTGGAGCTGGCGGGGGCGGTGGTGGAGGTGGCGGTGGAGGCGGCGGAGGGAGTGGGGGGGTGGCGGTGGGAGTGGTAGGGGAGTGGTGGTGGTGGTGGCGGCAGCGGCGACGGAGGCGGTGGCGGCGGAGGCGGTGGGGGCGGAGGCGGTAGTGGTGGCGGCGGTGGAGGAGGCGGTGGCGGAGGAGGTGGAGCTGGTCGGGGTAGTGCCCCGCAGCGGAGCGGCTCTGGTGGTGGTCCGCGGCAGCAGCAACAGCGTTCTCGGGACGTCCCCCCGCCTTAGCAGCTCCGTGAGTGGTTCGCGCTGAGTCACGTGGTGGGGGGTTTTAGCCCGTGCACCTACGTTCTTTGCAGCGGCGGACCGCGCGGGTGAGCAGTGTGGGGGTGCCCACTCCACCCGGCGCTGCTTTGGCCGCTTGTCGGACGCGTGGCGTCAGCAGTTCCCCCGACGCCTCTGAGGTCCCTCGCTGAGAGAGCTGTCTAGGGTTGGCATAGCGATCTTTGATCTTGTCTTTGATGCTATCCTTGCTGCCATGTATCCTGTGTCCTATCAGTGATGAGGGTGATTGTTACCGGTGTTATCCCGCCCGACCCGGGCATTGGTACGGCTGCGCTAGGTGCTTGTGAGACTGCTGCGCTCTCAGGTGCTGGTGAGGCTGCGCTCTAAGGTACTGGTGAGGCTGCGCTCTCAGGTACCCGCGTCGGCTTCGGCCTCCCTCACCTTTACACTTGACTTCTGGGGTTCTCGATCCTTCTTTCGAGACGGCACCACACTCACGCCGCTTGGCCCGCCGGTTGCGGTCCTCCCTGGCTGACCCTCTGGGGGTCTTGTCCTCTCTCACTTCTCCACTGTCCTCTCGTGTCCAGCTGCCCCCTTGGGCACCCTGTCCTGGTCTGTACCTCCCCTCGTTCTCGGACAAACTTGGTGAGTGGTTGCTGCCCTACAGGATGCGGGGGTTCACCAGTTACTCCTGCGAGTCAGCGGGTGACCCACTGCAACGGACGCGCGCACAGGCCGGCACCTGGCCACGTTCTTCCCGTCGCCCGGGGTCGAGCCTCTACACCCTAACCACTGAGTCTCCTCCTGTCCCTGTGTCTCGCTAGGTAGCTGCGTCGGATTAGGTGTTTGCTGCTGCGTCCAGGTCTGGTACTGAGTCTGCCCCCTGCTCGTGTCGCCTCCTGTCTCACGAGACTCTCCTGTGGCACCACCATCTTGGCCACCCCTGCCTTGCCCCGTCTCAGGGACATGGCTTTCGCGTGTCCTTGTCTGTGGTCTTCCCCGGTCTCTCCCTCCTCTTCCTTCGGGGCCAGGACCTTCCTGTGTCCCTTGTGTCGAGGGGCCCCTCCGGGCTGCCCCCACTCCTCCCAGTTTTCCTCCGACAGAGGCTACTCTGCAGACGCTTCACATGGACGTGTGGGGCCTGGCCCGCGTCCGTGGACAGGGTCACGAGCGCTACTTTCCTGCTGGTGGTTGACGACTACTCGCGTTTCACCACAGTCTTCCCCTTCCGCAGCAAGGGTGATGTCACTGAGGTGTTGATCGACTGGATCGGCGCAGCTCGTCTCCAGCTCAGGAGGGAGCTTTGGCTCGGACTCCCCTGTTCTGCGTCTGCACTCTGACCGAGGGCAGAGAGTTTTCCTCTGGCCTTCTGCGAGCCTACTGTCGTGCAGAGGGCATCCGCCAGACCTTTACGCTTCCGGACTCTCCACAGCAAAATGGGATTGCTGAGCGCCGCATTGGCATGGTCAGGGACGTCGCTCGTACGTCCATGATGCATGCGGCTGCCCCCCATTTTCTGTGGCCGTTTGTGGTTCGGTACGCGGCACATCATATCAACCTTCAAACCCGGGGTTTCCCGGCCGGGGAAGGTCCGTACCTCCCCGGCCCTGCTGTGGACTGGGAAGGTTGGCGATGCGTCTGCGTTCGGTGTCTGGGGATCTCGGGCGTTTGTCTGCGACTTGTCTCCGGACAAACTGTCCCCTCGTGCTGCTCCCTCTGTCTTCCTTGGCTTCCCTCTTGACGCTCCAGGGTGGCAGTTCTACCACCCCTCCTCTCGTCATGTTCTGTCCTCCCAGGACGTCACGTTCGACGAGTTAGTCCCCTTCTACCGCCTCTTCCCCTACTGCACTCCTTCCCTCCCCCCGCCACTCGGACTTCCCTGTGCCAGGTCCCCCCCTGGTAGACCCCCTCCCCCCTCAGGTTCCTGCCCCTTCAGGTGTGTCCCAGGTAGACGCAGTCAAGCCGGTCAAAGTTGCTGGTGACTCTGGTACTGCTGCGGGTGCTGAGCCAGGGGGTGCTGACTCTGGGGGTGCTGTGCGCGTGTGTGCTGAGCCTGGGGTTGCTGACTCTGGGGGTGCTGCGCCAGAGGGCGTTGAGCCTGGAGGTGCTGCGTCTGGAGCTGCTGAGCCTGGAGGTGCGGGAGCCTGTGGTCGCTAGACCTCCCCTTGTGGCGTCTGGCGGTGCTGGGCCTGGAGGTTCTCCGGGTGCTCCCTCTTGGCGGGAGCTCCTCTCTCCACAGGAGCTGCGCGAGTGGTTTTCCTCGCCGCTGGAGGCGTACTGCTGGAGCTGGAGCTTCTTCGGCCGCTGAGGGTGCTGGTGCCCGCCGGTCCTGCAGCTGCTGGGCCTGCGGATCCTACTGGAGCTGGAGCTGCTGAGGGTGTTGGTGCTGAGACTGCTCCTGTGTGTCCTGGCGGTGGTCCTGCTGCTGGTGCGGCTGGAGGTCCTGCCATTGGAGGTGTTGTTGGCGCTGGTGCTGCCGCCGAGGGTGCTGGTGCTGTCCCTGGTGTCTCAGCAGTCCCCGCGCGGCCTCGGCCGTACTTCGTTCCGCTCCTGCAGCAGGTTCTTGGTCTTCCTCCTTCTGTAGAGTGTCCACCGCCTGTCCAATCGCAGTCACTGTTAGAGCCAGCCTCCCCACTGCTTGCCTCCCTCTCCTTACACTGGTCCTACTGGAGGTCTTGCTGAGCGTTGTGAGCCTACGTCTTCTCCCGCGTCGCCTGTTCGTGCTTCTCGCGCTAGTGGTCGCAGTTCGCGTCAGCATCCTCCTCCTGTCCCTGGCACGCACCGGATGTCTTTGCGTCCGTCTACTGCTCCTCTGCGTGCCCCTTTACCTTCTCCTCCTGAGTATTCTCTTCCTGCGCTTCCCGACCCGGAGTCGGACTCTCTGCGTGCTGCCAGTCCTACCGTCACGCGTCTTCTTGCTAGTGTGGTCACTGACTCCTCCTTTGAGTCCACTGCTGCGTCTGCTCTTGTTGTTGTTTAAAAAGGTACAGTGGAGCAATTTGGCCAAGTGACGGTATGTTGTGTTAATGAGAAGTAATTTACAGACAGGCAGGGGAGCACTTTGAGAACAGGCATTACCACTACTTAAAAGGCCTGTCACCACTGCCGCCTACTCCCCCACCACGCCTCTCCCTCTACCCCTCCCACTCCTACACCCCTACCTCCCTTCCTTCCTCTCCTTCTCTCACCTGCTCCTCCCTAATTCCCATTCATTCCTTGCTCCCGCTCCTTCCCTCTCCCCCCTCTCGCTCTGCCCCCTATCCTCCCTCCCTTTCCACCCTCTCTCCTCCTTCCTATTGCATTCACTTCCTCCCTCCCATTCCTCAGCGCCTCCTTTCCACCCCACCCCCTCCACGCCCCTTCCTCTGACTCACTCCCCTCCCACCCCTCCCATTTTGGTTTCAACCCCATGTCCTATCCATCCTCGTGCATTTTCTTTTTCTGTAATTCGTCCACAGCTCCACCATGCACTATCTCAGTATCGCTTTGGATCTCTGCCGCTATGTTTCCTTTCCCAGGCCTCGTATCTCAACTAGCCTTGCCGCAGCCCAACTATCATCTCGTTTTCCTTTGATCCTACACGATTTTGATAGGCTCATCTCTATACGTTAGTTAGTCATGCCTATGTGATCCATCTCCCCCTCCCTGGCCCTAGTCGCCTCCTGTGACATTCTGTCTTGCCTTTTATGCCGCTTGCCCCTCCCTCTCATGCTTATATTCTTACATGCAACTACGAGAGTTGGGCACATGCCGGGGCAGACCAGGCAGTGACCCCAGGGCTGTTTGACTCAGACAATTATGGAAAGGGCCAACAGCAAAGCAAGCGCATGGTGCAAGGATTACGAGACGATGGCCGAAGGGGTAATGGTCTGATGGAAAGATGGAATATGGGTTAATGGGTTGACAGGAAGATCGTGTGATGATGTGACGGGATGATTGTGTGATGGTGTGATGTGATGGTGAGATCAAGGGACTTGAGTCCTCCATATGAAAATGGTCGATCCAGGAGACTTTGGGGTGGCAATGGCAGGCTAGCAAGCTGACAAATGAGAGCAGACACCTGATAGGTAGGTCCGAGTCAAGGCACTACTGAACTCTGTGCAGAGTTGAGTGATCATTAATCGATGTGTGGGCGCATAGGCACTAGGGAAACATGCTACTGGCTGGACTATGCACACCTGGTGGGTGCAGGAACAGCTTGATGGACAAGGGCGGCCAAGGGAAGAGGGAGGGAGAGAGCAGGGAGGTGGGTGCAGGAAAGGCGGATTGGATGCTGGCTGGACTATGCACACCATGGAGGGGCGGATGGCAATGGGGATGAGGATGGAAAGGGAGAAAGGGGTGGGGATGGGAAAGAGTAAGGGGAAGGGGAAGGAAAGGCAACGAAGAGTGACTGTTGTACTCAGCACACCTGGTGGCTCTGCCACGATGCTGGAAGACGTGGGGAGGGTGGAGAGTGTATTTGGGAGTATGGAGGAAAAGAGAGCAACCTTAAAGCCCGCGGCCCAAATTGCGGAGCACGCGGGTCAGGATTTTAAAACTTGACGAAACACTGTTTGCAAGCTTTGAAAAGAAGCGCACCTGCAATTTGGGACTTTTGGGGACTGACCCAACCCCCAGGGCGAAATACGAGGGCAGGCTGAGTTTGGCGAAAAAAAAAGAAAAAGAAAAAAAACGAAATCGAAATCCCTCGCCAAAACCCAGACCAGAAGAGCCCCCACACCTCAACCTTTTAAAACTTGTGCAATTTGGGCCAACGGCTTTAACATGCAAGTGTATGGATTTCATTCCTCCTGATTTGTAGCTCGTGCAGCTGAGAGAATTGGGGCCATGGGGGGGAGGACAGGCAATGAACTACCTGAAGTTGTTGAACAGAGCCATTGTGGTGCAGATCACATCCAGTGAAAGGGCATGGCGAGAGTGTGATGGGATGATGGGGCGATGGGGTATGAGTTGATGGGGTGAAGGGGAGATGGGATAATGGAATCATAGGGTGATGGACAATGAGATCCTGGGGTGATGTGATCATGGGATAATGTAATCATGTGGTGATGTTCATGGGACAATGAGATCATGGGAATATGTAATCACGGGGTTATGTAATCATGAAATTATGTGATTGTATCATCACGCGATCTAGGGGTGATGTGACTATTAGATAATGAGATCATGGGGTAATAAGATCATATGATTATGTGATCATGGCCCGTTATGAGATCATGAGGTTATGAGATCATAAGGTAATGTAATCATGAGGTTATGTGATCATGGGGTTGTTGAAAGACAAGTTAGGTAGGGAAGGACTTAGGAGTAGAAGTTACATTATTTCAAGTGAGCTTGCAGGATATACATTCAAGACAGAGATGAAGCAGAGGCCAGATCTATATGGAACAGCCGAGCCATCTGGCCTGGTGGGGCTATTGGACCAAGGACCCAACTGGCCTAGTGGGGTGAGTTGGACCAAGGACCCAACTGGTCTAGTGGGGTTAGTTGGACCAAGGACCCAACCGACCTAGTGGGGTGAGTTGGACCAAGGACCCAACTGGCCTATTGGGGTGAGTTGGACCAAGGACCCAACAGGCCTAGTGGGGTGAGTTGGACCAAGGACCCAACTGGCCTAGTGGGGTGAGTTGGACCAAGGACCAAACCGGCCTAGTGGGATGAGTTGGTCCAAGGACCCAACTGGCCTAGTGGGGTGAGTAGGACCAAGGACCAAACCGGCCTAGTGGGGTGAGTTGGACCAAGGACCCAACTGGCCTAGTGGGGTGATTGGGACTGCAGCCAACTGTGGGAAGCTAGACACCACCCACCACAAGTGTGTGTCCAACTCTGTACAGTTGGCTGTCCTTCACAATGGTCAACCAGCACACTAAAGTTGGTCCTGTGTTCTACATCTAGAATTGGGTTTACCCCAATTTTGGTGTTTACCCAGTCTACACCAAGCAACAGAACTTGCAGGTATATCTATGTAATTAAACAGAGTGCAGTGGTGGCAGTGATCGGATTGTGGTCAGTCAGCCCATGGGCCGATAAGTCAGCGATGGGTCAGTTAGTGGGTCGATGAGTCAGCAATGGGTTTCATGGAGTATCTGTGCTCGGTGCAAGTCATATTTTTTCACCCAAGAATTTCTCTAATGTTCACCCAAGTTATTTTTTATTTGTAAGGGCCTTTGGGCCTTATCGCCACTCGATTATGGTTTTGTTTTCCCCTGTCTCTTTCCATACCCCCTTATACTCACGTTTTTGTTGCCAGGTTTCATTCCCCCCAGAAGGCTCTTCCCCTACCGCATCTGACATGTCATTGCTATGAAAGGGCTATGAAGAAATTAAACCCCTTTTGCCCATGTGTAGCAGATGACAAGGCACTGAACAGAAGTGGATATTGTCCGGATCAGGCCCCTAGATTGCTTATAGGGCTGGCTGATCCATTGATTAAGCTGGGAGTTCAGCTTTCCCCACCCAAAAGACTTTGAAATTTCAGTGTTTACTGTAATATTTAAGTTGATAATCGAGCCTATGTACATAATTTAGTGCTGTGTTTTTAATGTATAGGAAATCACAAGTTACATGTTTGACTGAAACTTGAAGTGTTGAATTCATGAAGTGTCTTGCCAGTATTGCCGGGTCATGCGCAAAACCTGAGGTAACTGGCCATGATCGACAATTGAGTGGTGGAGAGGTTGGAGGGGAGGTGAGTGGCACAGCTGGAGCCAGCTCGTGTGCAGGGGGCTCGGAGTCTGGTAGCGCTACCAGGCCCACTTCCAGAGGGCTACGGTATATCATATTATCATCTAGTGCAGCGTTTTATGGTAAGTTGAGAGTTTAGTGCTTTACGAGCCCGATGTTTGTTGCTGCTACAAAAAAGGCTCATAATTTCCATCCTGAAATCTCTTATTGATCATGACTGAAGCTATTCTACAATGTAGCATATATCATGCATGCAACAGGTGAGACATTTACAAAATGTGATAAGCAAGAAATATGTACCCATAGACAAGCCAAAGCTTTAGTCGTTGCTTTTGGTGTGATTAACCCAATTTTATTGTTCCATCTACCTGATCACCAAAGATGCTACCAGTATCCTTCACTAAACGTCTTTCAACAAGCCATATTGCCTCATACCAATGGCAGAAATGATTGTTACCAGAAGCTCTATGTAAACCAGTAAGGATCAAGTGAAAGCGAACTTGATTATGTGGAAGAGCTGCTTGGCATGCCCTCGTGCTCCGCACGGGCCATTTGAGCAGTGAAGCTGGAGGAGCCAATGGAATATCCAAGCTCCATGTCGATGCGAGATTCGGCCTCGCCCACATGGCTCTCATGTGCTCCGGATGCCTCCTTCTTAAACTTCACCAGCTCTCCCAGCACTTGATTCATGGAGGGGCGGGAGGCCGCAGGCATGGCGGTGCAGGAGAGGGCAAGGCGAGCCCAACGCAGCACCAAGTCATCTGGTGCATCCAAGTACGGGTCCTTGAAGAGTGTCACGGCATCTGACTCGACAAATGGGGCGATCTGTTGGGTTGAAAGAGAACACAACCATGTGGACGAATACGCGTGATGTATTTCGGATATGAATGCTCCCGAGTGGAGGATTGAGCATTGGTCATGCATTAGTCATGAAGAACTCAGGCAGTAAGTCTGTACCAAGCAGTTATAGCTTACCCATTGCTTCAGACTGATCTGGCTGGTCTCGCTAACATGCACGGCCTTGCGTGCCGAGATGACTACCAGCATCACCACACCAAAGCTGTTAACACCAAGCCAGCAAAAAGGTGCAAGAACCAGAATGGAGATTAATGTGAGGCATGTCAATGGAACATTCTATGCCAGGCCTGCATCACAAATGGAAATATTCATCTGCTACTGGTGTGGCCTTGTGAGACTTGTATAAGGCGGGGCCAAGATAGACCGGTGTTCACATCACTCGAGTAATATATTTTCTCACTCTACTAAAAAATATATATATTTGCCCTCTCACAT